TTCTTCTTCTTCTTCTTCTTCAAACAGTGATTTTATTGTTTTAATATTGTTCGCGTGTTTGCTCATAAGAGATTGTCATAATCACCTGATATGTTTAGCTACTACATGTGCTAAATTCAGAAATACCTCAATGTTTTTGACGCGATCATCACGAAATCATAAAATGCAATCGCAATATTTTTGGTCACTTGCTAGCTGTTAGCTGGTTGGTACACCTCGTATAAAACTAAAGTTACGGCTAACCCTAATTCATGTTTAGATGTAGATAAAGCGTTCATTTACTGCCAGCCAATTTGAAGATTAATAATTAAAAGAAGTGGAAAAAAATTGTCACCCACCGGCATTTTGTAGCTCAATTCAGATGACCCCAAAACAATGCAAACGATCAAGCAAACAAAAACAAAAGTAAAATCAAGTAAAAAGAAAAAAAGAAAAAGAGAGAAAAATAAAGTAAAATTGTGTCAGTTTCAGTGTTCTCCGGCCAAATTAAGTGAACCTSAAGCTATTTGTACCAGATATACTTTTGTAATTGCTTTTTTCAGCCTTTTAATTTATATAGTTTCTGTAATCTCATTTAAGGGCTTTCTAGCAGTACTTGCTTTACACTCGAAAAATTCTATAAATCATTGGAGAAAACATATACAGGCGTTAATATGCAAACTCAAGCATTTCTAGTCTGTTTAAACTAATAGGCAAGAACTTCCACTCATATATATATAAATGATATATATATAAATATATATATAAATGATAGTTTTTTATCGCTTGGTGCCCTGCTAATTAGCTTAGCCAAGGTGTCCTTCGGGGCTTAACACATTGTAGGATTTTTTTCAGCTAGAAAGGGGGATCAAGGCACCCTTTGTTATGATGCTAAAACAAATGGTTTTGAAGTGGAAAATAAGAGTCCATTGCCACTGAAGGCACAGKGGGCCAGGTGTTAATGGTTCTGGTTTAATAATTCCTTTGATATCTTTAAATAGCATGACATACGTGATAGATCACGGAAGAAATTCGATAATGAAAAAATATACCTGTTAATATCATTTATTTTGTTATCCCAAACATGATGTAATAATGGCTACTCAAGCTACTACCTAATTATTTTGATACACGTGGTTGATATGCGTCAGTAAAGAAAGTCGAGACACTGTACCCGTTATTGTGAGTTTTTGGTCTGGGTCACCTAAGGTGAAGAATTTAAACATTCGTGTTAATAATGTGAATAAGTCTTCAAATAACAACAATAACATATTATTGTAAAAAAATAAGACATTTTTCAATCATATTCCACAGTTATCTAAGAAGTCACCTTTGGTAATTTGTTTACATGCAATGAAGAGTGTGGTTATTTTTATAGAAACCTTACACGTGAAAATTAAGTGTAATTAAGAAGAATTAAGTGTAMTTATAAGTCAGAATGACTTTTCAAGAGCTCATGTGTTACTTTGTTTTCGTGTAAACAACCAATCCACTTATCCATGTGTGTCGGAATGATGTTTCCAATTGTATCAAATAATATCATGATATTGTCTAATATATTCGTCAGTGTATCCTCGTGTCTTAACTAATGGCTGACCAATTTTCATAAGTGTATTAAAAATATTTGAGATCGTAGTGTAAAAAAATCGGCATTATAATGAGAATATTTCTGTGGGTTAAATGTGCATTTCTGCTAAGAAAAAATGCGATTCAAGCTTATTTGTTCTAGATTTAGCTACAGCTGTTTTCTGGTTGGCTAGTTCCAGGTGTTTACACCCAAGCCTCACTAGAAAAGCTTTGATGTCATCTCTGTATTACGTCCTCTCATTGGTTGTTTGGTTGCTATATCTATACGGAGTGCAGTTACTTGCCCTCATTCTACCAACATTTCACATCGTATCCTTAATTGTTTTCGTTTTCCGTTGGGTATGTCACAAATGAATTTTTCAATGGCGAACATTTCAAATATCTCCAAGATATCGGTACATCAAAAGCCCGAGGCCTTCACATTTAGCGCACAGACTAAAGTAATGCTGTTTTCCATCCTGCTTGTGTGGAGTCTTCTCGGCAACGTTCTTGTCATTGCGATYGTCATATTGAATAAAAACTTGAGGACTAATTTCAATTGCCTGATTGTCAACATGGCGGTTTCAGACTTGTTCATTCCCCTACTCATCCTGCCATTAAAGATTGTTCAGGAGACGAATGGACCTGACTGGTTAGTGGACGGTCCTCTTGGTGAAGCCTTGTGCAAGCTGGTTTACTTCCTGACGGATATATCTCCTCTAGTCTCAATTCTAAGCCTGGTCATAATCACAGTTAATAGATTTGTCTCCATTACATACCCGATGAAGATTGGAGTACTCCGAGGAAAGACAAGTTGGGTCCTTCTCGCCTTCACATGGATAGCACCAATGGCTCTCCTCTCTCCATACTTCTACACTTTTCGCCTGCTAAAGAAAAATGGCATAACACACTGTATATCGCTATGGACTCCAGCCTTTGATGACCTTGCAGCGCGGACCATCTTCATAACTGTGGTTATTGTGGTAGCGTTCCTAGTGCCCTTGACAGCCATCTTGATATTATATTCTTTAATGCTTTACCAACTTAAAAAAAGCTCTGATAAAGTGATCCATATGTTAAATAACCGACAACTTCTCTTTCGACAACGCAGAAACAAACAGATTTTCTATTTTTGCATTGCGATTATTGCATCGTTCATTTGTTTTTTAGGACCTTTCTTTTGCTTCATGTTTGTGCTAAACTTTGTTTGGCGTTGGGATTTTAAGGGTAAAGTAGTAAAGATCAGGACCATTTTATTTGTTGTTCAATTTTTAGCGCATCTTAACCCTGCTATTAATCCTTGTATTTACTTTTTGTTTTTGAAAGACTATAGAAAAGGTTTGAGAAGGCTTCTAGTAGATTCTAAAAGAAAACCAACGTCAATTCTGTTGCGTCGTCGTAAATCCACCAAGATCTCGACACTTTTGGAATATTTTCCTCTGGGCAAAGTTCGCAATAAAAGCACTTCAGTTTAAGATTATAGCCTTCACTATTATACTTGTACAAATTAGGTTTGTAAAATAGGACACTAGGGACACTGACAATCACGAAAACTTGCATTATAGTAAGAAGTTTGCATATTTTATATAACATATAATTAGCTATAACAAGAAACGCCATGACTGAAAATAGATGGTATATTTTAGCACTCGAACAATAACATTTTGTCATATTTATTCTTTATTTTCTCCTACACACYGAATACTTTTCGGCTTTGTGGGTAGCCGGTCAAAAATATGTCAGTCGTGATCAAACCGGTGTCTTCAACCAGATGTTTCCTTTATTAGTTGCTAGGCAACTGAACTACCAATCTAATAATTCGGCCCAGCGAATAAGCCTTTTCATAGTTTAAGAATCGATTCCACTGCGCATGCGATTTTATCCCGAATTTCTCACCTTCTTTTGTTTAATTAAGAACAAAGAAGGTTTAAACAAAAGAATGTAGAAATTCGGAATAAAATCGCATGCGCAGTGGAATCGATTCTTAAACTGTGAAAAGGCTTATTACGGAAAAACCCTCCTTTTAGCCAATCAGCATCGAGTAATTTTGCCCTGTATGTGATTAGTATAGGTAATAGAACTACATGCTGCCCAATTTGAAAATGATTTGATGAAAACAATTCCGAGGACTGACAAAATTGTAAAAGCCGATAGGCCGAGTCCATTTAAACAGTCAGAGGAATTTTTTGAATTCAATCATTTCCATATTGGACAGACATGTAGTCCAATTGCAAATTAATTATATGATTTCCATAAGTCATAGTTTTCCATCAAAAGAATGCGAATGGAAACGAATGGAAAAAGAATTTGGAAATAATAAAATAGTTGCTTATTTGGAATTATAGAAGTGATGATACAATTAGTTTCAATAAAGCCATTTGTAAACAATCAATGGGGGGAAGGTTAAGTATAATATCGTAAATTATCAAGACCAAGGTCGGTGTTGTCTGTCGTCACCATAGCCTGAGGGGGATCAACATCATGCCAAAAACAAATTCAATAATTGTTTTATCTTATGTTTAATACATGTAAACTAAGAATAAAGATTCAATTCTGCTTTTCGAAAAAAAAAAAGCAAACGTACTTCAAACGTATCTCCAAAATGACCTTGAGTGAGCTTGACATTATAAATGACATTGATCTATAGAATTATCAAGTTCACACGATATCCTGACAACACTTGAAAAAAAAACACTTGAAAATAAGCTTCATATTTTCAAGGCAACGTGTAATTTTTTTATTATATACATTATATTACATTCACAAACAAAAACTTGTTGAAAACATTGGAAAAGACGTCGTTAAGGATATGGGGACAATGAGTGACTGAGGTCCCGGATGTACTTCGTACAACACTAATGCCTATATGATAAAATTTGATATTAAATATAACAGACTAGAAAGATACTATACAACGCCAAAATAAAAGGGACACAAACGAAAATTCGTCAAAATTGATAACTGATTATTCTTAGTTGAAGCAATTTAACGATGAATATATTAGATGACTTTTAAAAACTACTCTACCAATTCTGCATTTTAAGCATGTTATCACCAAGGAATTTTGGTTTAAAAGCTAAAAAGAATTGAACAAAAGGGTTGAGTAAATAACGTCATTTTACTGCCATTTTAGATGTTACCGAGGTAATTGATCATTTTTACCGCCACTTTTGGCCGTGAAGAAAAACTCTTACTTCCCACAAAGATAAATTTAACCAACTTCCAAGTCATTTCCAAAAGAATAGCTCGAAACAAAGCAGGTGGATATCGATTCCAAACGTTTTTTTTTTATAACTTTTCTCGCCTCGGGCCGTCCTCGGGCAAGCAGAATATTATGCCTTGTTAAACTTAAATCAGCACCACTTATCGTTATGAATTATTAATTGTTTTTTTCATTTACCAAGAAAGAGATAAAAGCAATGACAAAACATTCTGCTGTTTAGAAGCAATCCCTTTGTTAGCGTACTGGTCACCTTTCTTCTTCCTTACAGTTAAAGCCGTCATCTGAAGGTACGTCTGATTTTAACACAGTCACGAAAACGATCACCTAACTTCATTGAAATATAATTGAATCGCCTAAATATAAAACTTCTAATTTTTGAGCAGGAAAAAAAAATTAATTCTTAAAAAAAAGTTGTCCCTCGTTTGTAACATGTGGTTTTATTTCGTGATATAATCATGAATCGAACAAAAGCAAACTATCTTGCGAATTTTTCAAGTGAATAGCAGCTTCAAGTAAATTGCTGATTAAATGTTAGGTTATGAAATATTCACTCTTAAAAATCATTAGTTAAAACAAATTGTATTATAACCTTTTTTTTTTTTTTTTTTTTTTTGTGCCTATATTCTTTCTCAGTCTAGTATCTGTGAAATTTCTTGTATTCGTGTCGCAGTTTGAAAAGTTATTCATGAAATATGAGAATATATTCATTATCACAACCATATTGATTGGCATATTAGACGGACTTTTACATATATATTTATTCGTATGTCGGCAAAAAAAAGAGCAGTTAGCAATTGAGAAAAAAATTGTTAAAATCCAGAGTTTCCTGTTGAAAACTGGTTTCAGAATATTTAACTGCCTTCAAAACTCTGTTCGTACATCCAAAAGCTATAAAGTGTTTGACCATAGTTAGAAAGACTACAAAATACTTTGTATATAAAAGATATCTATCAAAATGTAGTGATCCCTCGAAGATTTGTAGTAAATTTCTTAGCAAATTATCCGAAGCTCGACCCGATAGTCTCGTTTTGATGCTACGTTCATCACAATACCGCTGGTTTGTTGGGGTGGCATGTTCAACTACAATAACAGCTATTGTTCTTGACGCCATGCGTTTTGATTATAATGAGCATAAATACAGAAAGATAGTGACATTGACGGTCAGGGTAGTTTTGTCTTCCTAACTAGAGGTCGTCGGTTACCAAAACCTCTGAGGTGCGCATATACAATTTATTGTAAGGTCTCACTATTAAATAAAATGCTATTGTTCTTCACTGAGTTCTCAATTTTTTTTCTTGGTTTCATGCCTCATATGCTTTTGTATTTTCCTCCTTGATAGCCAGTGATATGGATAACTATTCCCTTTTTACTAACACGACGAGGCATCAAGATGAGCGAATGGCTGACGACACAAAGGTTGTCCTGTACTCTATCCTACTTGTTTGGTCTCTCATTGGCAACGTTCTGGTCATCGCTGTTGTCTTTTCGAATGATATCAAAACTATATTCAATGGATTGATTGTGAATATGGCTGTGTCTGACTTGTTCGTGCCCTTACTTGCACTTCCCTTGAAAATTGTCGAGTCATCTAGAGGACGTTACAATGAGTGGCTAGTGGAAGGTCCTCTTGGTGAAACCCTGTGCAAGCTGTGTTACTTTTTCATCGATATATCACCAGCCGTATCCGTTTTTAGCCTAATCATCATAGCTGTCAACAGGTTTGTGGCGATCGTATTTCCATCGTCATTAAAACGATGGAGCGGAAAGATTCAGAGGGTGTTGCTCATGTTTACTTGGGTTTTCTCAATGGCACTTCTCTCTCCATACTTCTATACTTTTCGCCTCAAACACATCAATGGATTAACTTATTGCCTTAGTACGTGGAGCCCGGCTTTTGAAGACATCCCAGCACGAACTCTCTTCATTTCCATCCTTATTGTCGCAGTATTTCTTATTCCATTTTTGACAATTACTGTATTGTATGTAATGATGTTGAAAAAACTTATCCAACACTCAAAAACTGTTGAAAATTCATTTAACAAGCGACAACTTTGCTCTCGAGCTCG